CCATCCCAGCTGTTCTCCCAAGAGAGAGGCAGAGGACACTGAGCCAGATACGCAGAAAAAGACAACACGTTGGGCACAGCGGCACAGGACTGTAATCCTAGCACTTGGGGGATGGAGGCAGGAGAATCAAGAGCTCAAGGCCAGCTTAAGCTACATAGTAAGAGTCTGTGTCAAAAATAAATAAATGTAAATATATAAAGGTAAAAGAGACAGAGGTTCAAATAATGCGGTCACAGGCCAAGCATGCTAACCATCACCAAACACAAGAGGAAGCTGGGAGCAGGGTTCTCCACTGAGGAATCATGATCCTGCTGACACCTTGGTCTTGGTCCCACGAAACTGATGTTGAGCTTGTGACCTCCAGAACTATAGGAGCATCAGTTTATGATGTCATATACCAGCAAGTTTGGGGTAACTGTGTTATGACCGTCTTAAGTGGCCAATACAAAGAGTCACAAATGGGCAAATTGCAAGTAGGAATGGGACTGGTGGCACATGCCTGTAATCCTAACTATTCTGGGCTACTGAAAGAGTTGAAGTTCAGCCAGGGCAATGTAATGAGATCCTGTCTTAAAATAAAAGGAAAAAAAACCAACAAACAAAACCACAGAAGCTATCACTAGGTGGTAAACTCTTGCCTAGCAAGTATGGGACCCTAGGTTTAATCCTCAGTATGAAAAAAAATTGTCATTGAGGGTGGGAATTAGTATACCCAGTAAGAGTCTCTACCTTGGAGGTGTTGAGAAGATCAGTTCCCATTTGAGGAGCTGAAGGGGACCTGAAAGAGTTCCTGAGCCTGGTCCTCTGTGGCCACTCAGATCCCCACACCCCCTGGGAAAGGAAGAAGAAATCAACCATTCCCCTGGAAGTTTCACTCCTGCCTCAGACCAGAAGGCAGCCGCTGCCACCTCTGCTCTGCCTCCCAGTTGCCCCTGGTGTGGCCCATTAGAAACTGATCTTTGGCCTTCTGTGCTTGTCACATGGGCCAGGCTAAGCAACTTCAGGATCTAGTCTCTTCCGCCTTGCTCTGCTGGTCACCTGTGCTAGGCTGGGTACACTCAGGATCTTTAGTCTCCTACCATTCAGGAGGGGAGACATTAGGGATAGTGCAGTTCTTCTCTCCCTGCTTTAAGAAATGTCTCCAGAACCAACTTCTGCTCCCTGGGCAGAACTCAGGAAAATGGGAAGGACATGTCTGGCCAGTCTGGACTTGGATCCATCCAATGGGGCTCCATGGCTGTGCAGCCTGACAAGGCACCAAGGTCTTCAGTTCTCCCTTAGTTGAATTCAACTGGCTCTATTCAACAAGGATGCACTTATGAAAACATGCACACCGCAGGCTTATATATGGCATATCCCACTTGGACCTGGTTTTCAAAGATGTACTTTAAAAGTGCCAGTTTTGGGGTCTGGAGCAAATAGCTCAGCGGTTAAGAGAAACTGATGCTTTTACAGAGGACCTGCATTCAGTTCCCAGCACTCATGTGGCAGCTGATACCAGACATGCCCATGGTACACACATACATACATGCAGGCAAAACACTCATATACATAAAAATATAAATATTAACATAAATAAAAATAAAAGTGCCAGTGTTTACATAGCAATGGGGGGGGCACTGATATTCATAACTCAGAATCTGTTCCTTACCCTGCACCTCTTGAAATAAATTCCCTGAAGGCCACAGGTTGGGCCTGACTTCTCAGGCCAGTCCTTCCCAGGAGGAAGGGTCTACACCAGTCCTGGTGGTCTTTAGTGGGGGGCGGTGCCACAGGCAGCCTGCCATCTCAGTTCTCACAGGGGTGCCTCCTTCACTGTGGAGCCAAGAGAACAGAGTGCTGCCCCCTTCCCTGTACCTAAGATACCATGGAGGTAGGGGAAGGGGGCTTCCAGGACAAGCCCTGTCCTATTCAGAAATGGGGACCTGACCCTGGGCAGTTATCCCCAAGCCAAAGCGTATCTGACTATCTTCCTAATCTTTCCAACCCCTGAACTGAGGTGAGTTTTTGACTTCTGTTGTCTTCTGGTCCAGACAATAGCCTGAGATTTCTGAAGGTAACTGATCTAGGAAGCTGTGGATAGCTTCCTAAGACAATCATTTGTGCTTTGCCTTAGAGGCAGGGAAACCAGGCAAAATCCTCCAATGCCTCTGAGCCCTGAGGGGGAAGGGGAGGAGATAAGCTGAGAGCAAGCCCGGGGTACATCTGAACAGCAGAAGTCAATGCATATAGGGTCTCTCTCACTTGCTCTCCGGAGAAGAGCAGGGCTGAGCAGTGGCTGCTGGGCATCTGCTAGAAGTAAAGACTAGTGTTTTTAAGCTACACTTAAATTCCTGCTGTGTATCAGCTGTATCAGTGATGTGATTCTGGGCTCCAGGAACTAACATTCTGTAAGGGAGACGATCACATAAGTATGTCACT